TGAATGATAGAATTTTGTTTATATGCAGAATGGCTAAATCAATACCTTAAATGTTTAAGGAAATTATAACTACTTCCAATGAGTTGGCAAAGGTAAATCACTAGGTATTCATTGGAATGGGATTCCTGCAAGTTTATTCAATTATGTTTATGTACAGGATACTTGTAGTTTCATATGCAAGGATTGTTTGTGGGGTCAGATTTGAGTACATGCAGCATGTAAATGACATAAAATGACAGTTACATGACATTTTTTTAGAAACCCAAATGACATCAACAATGAACATTATCAATTACGCATATACAATAGGACATCACAATATTGACATGCCATTTTGGGCAATGGAAATGGCTAAATTTATTACACTGACATCAAATGTCAAATACATCATTGACTTCTCTCCATAACAAACTGTCATCAATTGTGAACAGAAATTGCCATCAAATCTGACATATGTCAGTTACGAGTAAACAAAATGCCAAAACACAAGGCCTGAAAACTAAATGGCAGAACATTTAAACAAATGATAACTGTGTCCAAACCACATAATAGAATTCTTAAAAGTACTTTATAAAAACAAAAGACAAAATACAATGAATTAGCCATGGGTATCACTGGGTATTGATTGGAATGGGATTCCTACAAGTTTTCTTATTATGGCCAAGCACATGGCATCTAGAACATTTTTGTCTTTTTGAACCTCTATATTCTCCGATGGATGGAATCCTGGATTTCTTCGGGCGACCAGGAGGACGCTTCATACAAGTTGGTGGCTTGCATAGTTGGTTTTGAATAGTAGCAGGAACAGACCAACTGTCACGATCAACAATTGGATGCATAATACCAGACCATGTAGCAAGCCAAGCATCTCTAGTATAAAAAGGAGAAATGTAAGTATAACATGACAGATGTGGGCGTATAGCAATTGCAGCAACAACATGAACACAAACAAAGTGATCTAGTTGAAAGTGGCCACAAGTACAACTTCTAGAGTTGAGATTGACCACAAAGGACGTGCATCTGCTATCAACAACTTCAAATTCATATGCACATGATGGTTTCACCTAGGAAATGGCCAAAATATGAATATCAAATTAGAATAAAAATGAAATACCTAAACAATATACTAACACAAGAACAAAACTGACAGATATGCAGAATCAAAATGACATAGTGATAAACAAAGTGGCATTATATAACCAGATAAAAAACTGAGAACTGACTTATGGTTAAAAATCAGCTTTGACATACCTTCATACGTGTAGCTTCAGCTTGCAAAGCTACAAGACGTTTCTCACATTTCCGTGTGAGTATAGTACTTGTTTTCTCAGCTTTATCTTTCCTCTCTGTGAACCATTGTTGCATCCTTTCACGCAAAAAATCAACAAGTTTAGAGACTGAATACTCTCTTGCACATACATTGACTTTGTTCATAGACTCAGCACAATTGGAGGTCATAATATTATATCTCTTTGGTCCAGAAATTACTTTTGACCATGTGTTAGCACCTATTTTGTCTAGCCAAGTCCTTATCCTGGAGTTTTCAGAATCCAACATGGATAAGTAGTCATCATATTCTTTAACAGTTGCTGCCATATAGGCAGCTTTGAACTTCCATCCCAAAGTAGCTGCAGATCCTCTAAATTTGTGTGTCATGTTACGACGCATATGAGCAACACAAAAACCATGGCTAGCATGTGGCAAGATTTCAGAAACAGGCTTTATAAGACCTTTATGCCTATCGGATACTACATAAAGGTCATGTCTGTACTGTATTGACTGACAGACTTTGGATAAAAACCATTTCCAAGAAGATTTTGTTTCAGACTCACAAATACCAAATGCAATAGGAACTATGTGATCATTGGCATCTTGACAACAAGCTGTAAGAAGAGTGCCTTTATAGTAAGCCTTCAGGAATGAACCATCCAGTATAAGAACAGGTCTACAGTGAGGCCAAGCTTCTATCCATGCTCTGAATGACATAAAAAAGGTACAAAATGCATCATCCTTCCCTGTGACTAGATCAAACATAGAGCCAAGATTCGCCATCTCAAGCACATAAGCCATAGAAGGCAAAACCTGATAGGATTCAAGATCAGAACCAAATTGCAGCTGCATTGCTTTCTTCTGTGCTTTCCAAGATTTTTTGTATGACATGGAAATTCCATATTGCATACTCATGTCTTCACGAATTTGTTTTGGTGGGTACGGTTTATTGGAAGCATCAAGGTATTTGTGTGCAATAAGTTTTGCTATCACAGTAGCAGTTGCCTGTCTATGTTTGCCTTGTCTATAATCAATAGAGCATGTGTGTTCTGGACAGAATCTAAAATGACAAAACAATGGCAGTTTTATACAAGTGAGTAATATACAATTGGCATTCTTGGACAAGAATGTCACCAATACATGGCATTCTGATAAACAAGAATTAACAACGAAGTCAAACAAAAAGAATGAAATAAGAAGTTACCTTCTAATTTGAAACATTTGTACGCCAGGTAGTCTTACAGCTCGAACAGTCCAACGACATTTTGGATCTAAGCAAATAACATGTAAAGATATTTTCCTAGAGGTCTTTGTTCTGTATTGAAAGTGGTTTGTGATAGCATACATCTTCAGATGGTGGATAAGGTCTGTTTTACTTTTGTAAATAGCATATAGAACAAGACAAGTAGGATGAGACTGTGTGATGACTTCAAAATTGTGGAGAAATGACAGTGACTGAGATGATTCTATTACTAAGCCATCTGACATGTCATCCATGCCTTCATCACTGTCTTCAGATGTTTCAATTTCTACAGCTCTAGACACAGTGTTACTACAAGAAGCAACATCTTGAGAGTGTCTACCAGAGATGTTAACATTTTCAGTGCAAAAAGATGAGCTATGATCAAAAGAGAGTGCAGGTGAGGAGGCATGTTGTTGGGAAGAAACAACAACATTCTCATCAACAAAAAGTGAATGAGTTGAAGAAATGACAACATTTTTAGCTGAAGGAAAAGCAGAAGGTTCAACAACAACAAAAGATGGATATGAAGAAGAGATAGGATAAAACTCAACACAAAGTGGATACTTTAGAAAATCTGGTTGAAGAGACTTGATATAAAGATAAAATGTTAAGGTAGATTGATCATTTATAGTTATAGGAGGAGGGAATCCATCTCTCATATAAGAAAGCCTGAAATTATGATTAGGTTTGTACTGAGAAAGGATGACAGTCAACATATCAACAAAACAAGCATATTGAACACCATAGTTAACATGAAGTCCACATGTGTGCACATTGGTGAACACATAGTCAGAATCCCAAAAACCATCGACCTTGACCATAACAAGTAAAACAATATCCATTGTGCAAAAAGGTTCCTAAAAATTGAAGGAAAAACAAATATTTCAGTATAACAGAAGCATGAAAGAAGAAAGTTGGTTATACTAAAATGACAGTTTGCGTGAATATGTGACAGTCTATAAGGATGTATAAATAATATTTACCACACAAAATGGCAAATCAGCAAACAATACAAAATGACAGTTACAAATACAAAAGAGCCAGTTATGAAGAACCTAATCTAGTACTTACAGCAAGACACAATTTAAACACCAAGATTAAACGCAGAAATAGCAACATACGAAGAAATTTCATGAAATAAAAGCATTGATAGAGTTGATGAAAAGCAAACGAGCTAAATTATTAACAATAATGAATTTGAAATCGATTATAAAAATTTTGAATTTTTTGTTAATATTGTAGAAGCAAAAAAAAGAGGAATAAAACATATTGATGATTGCAGAACGACATGTGTACAACGGATGAATTGACATATTCTAGAAGCAAAATGAGAGCAATTGCAACATAAATTTAACCATGATTGGTGAAGAAGGACTATACAGGAAAGTTTCGGTGAACATACTCTGCAAACGAACGAACAATGGCGGAAGAAGATGAATGCAGAGGAGAAGGACGAACAGCTCAAACAAATCGCGAAGAAGATGATTGATGAAGAAGAAGAATAACGCGAAAAAAAAACAGAGTACCTCAACTGACTTCTCAACTGATTTAGGAAACTGATTTTCTGGAAAGAATCTCGATCAAAGAGGGAAACTAACGGAAACTCATAAATGGTTTCACACATGGATTACCGAAAATAGCCGGTAACACCTGCGGCTTAATGGCAAACATAGGCAGGGGTATTTTGGATATTGCTTAAAGCGTTAAACATACCTGTAGAACCGTATAACTCCTATTAGGGGAATAAAACATAGTAAGTCCTATTATGGCTTTTTAAGTAAGTTTTAGTCCTATTATGGACAATTTTTTCAAAAGTATATTATGCTGACAAAATTTTAGTTTGAAATTCAATTAGGTCGTCTGTTAAAATAAGTTAGGGCCGGGAGTTTCTATATTTAACTCCGTTTCTTCCTAAGTTGCTTGGTTGGCGGTTGAAGTTTAAATCATGTTTCATGCACAAAAAGCAATTTTTTCATAAAGCACCGATCAAATTATGTGCGTACAGACAATTTAATTGTCGTTTTGTGAAGAGGGCCGTTTTGCACACAAGCAAAAAAAAAATTGTTTGTCACAAATAATTTAAAATTGTGTATGAAATATTACCTCCGTAGCCTTAGAATCTTCATAGTTTGACTCTTTTGGGTCAAACTTTATAAACGGTGACCATTAATAATTCAAAACTCACAATATGTTATGATTAAAAATTTATTTCATATACCTCATTGTAAAACATATTATTTGAATGTTAATTTATTATGAATTTTATAAATATAGATATGTAGATATTTCGAGTCAAAGTTCAACTTAGAAAATTCTTGTATGAGATAAATAAAGTTAAAGTTTTAGTCCGTGTATAGCTTGCACCTGCGGACAAAGGCTGAAATGCATGCGCAGTGGGTGGGGCACGACAATCATACTTTAATGATTAAAATGAAGCGGCGGGTCCCGGAAAATCGTATATAAACCTGGTGGCCGGGCGTACAAGTCTCAGACGTGCACCAATATATCCCTGCCAGTGGATGGGCGGTTCCATTTCTCAGAGGAATTATTGGCCCGCACACAAAAATTAAAGATCGAATTATATATATATTAATGACGAAGGGAAGTTTGCTGAAGAAGATAAAGAAGTTAGTGGTCCGTAGAGCCGCCGTGGCATCATCTTCAGCAGCAGAAGCGGCGGCCGAGAAGTGGCGGGCGGAGGAGAAAAGGCGGCGCATCCCGAGCGACGTTCCGAAGGGGCATTTGGCAGTGTATGTGGGAGAAAGGCAGAAGAGATTTGTGATCAAACTCACCACACTAAAGCACCCACTGTTCATATCGTTGCTGGACCAATCAGAATCAGCTGAGGTGGAATCTGATGATTCCAAATTCTGGATTCCCTGTGACGAGAACATCTTCATCAGCGTCATTCGTTGCGCTACGCCTCCCCCAACTAAACTTTTCTCTATTTGCATTTGTTAATCCCCCAATTAATTAAAAACCACAAATTAAACCTTTCTTTAATTTAATTTAATTTCGGAATCATTTTTCAAGGCATTCATATTTCTCATACTCTTTTTTGTATAACGAAATATGATAGGGTGTTCTTTATGATCACTTCATGGAAGTAATATTTTCCATACTTTGAGGTAGTTTTGACATGCATTATATTGATATCAGATAACGAGTTTATTTTCGTAAAAATGTAAGGAATTATAAAGCTGCAAATATTACGAACACCAAAATACTTCGGAAACATCGGGAATCGTATCGAAATATACGTATACTACATGCAATTAAATATTGATCATATCGGAGTATATCTAAGAAAACACTTGAACCAAAATTATAATCTGATCGATGGGATTTTCTTCAAGTTACGGACAGAAGTCAGCTAATTAGGGTGTTTGTTTAAATGAATTTTACATTTGGCTTTTTATATCCAAAAGCTAAAATATGAAACGCCGATCACCCTAGGTTTTACCATCGGCTGTTCTGAATATTCCTGCGCTACCCCTGTTTCTTTTTCGTACGAGCATCCTACTCGTTAGAGAAAATCGATAGAATTGAAAATTGTCCCCCCACTCGTAGTTCCTAATTTATACAGAGTACTTTTTTGTAATATAATAATGAAATGAAATACTTGACAAAAATGTACTCATATTCAAGGAATAAAAAACATGATACTCCTATTTTGAAATTTCAAAACTTTTTTACTCCTATTTAGAGTAATTTCTATTAAATATATACTCTGGTATGATATATGTAATGTGATTAAATATTACTTTACTTATTTAAAATATAACCTCCACACATAAATGAACTAAGAAAGCACATGAAACCTTTTTTAAGTGCGGGCGGAGTGGTGTAGTCCCATGACTTCACATCATTATATTGTACATAAATTTATGAATAACCACCATAAGCAACTAAAAGAGACCACACGTGGATTTTTTTCGCCATTATTATTATTATTCGACGACAACTTATACACATATACGTGGGCCCTGCAAAGAAATATTCAATCGAATACAAACCGCTGAATACAATATATTTATATTTCTTGTTGGAGCCGTTTTTAGCCCTCATCATTAACCGATTTTACTCATTTATACTAACACTACACTAGCTACTCCCTAATTATTCGCCTTTAGCCTCACGAGTAGAATTAAGTGTACAATTTTTTATTCACGTATTACGTACTACCTCCGTCCCGCAAATAAGTTCACATTTTCTTTTTATGGATGTCCTAAAAAGAAGTTCTCATTTCTACAAAAGGAAACCACTTTTAACCAAAAAGTCACAACTACCCTTACTTTTTACCCACTTTTTGTTTGATTTGATATAAAGTAAAGGTATACTTGAAAAGTCTGTTGATGCATTGATAGACTATAAGTCTAGAGAGAAGTGAAAGCTAGAGAGAGAAGTAGTATAATTGCTTTGTATTAATGAATTGTGAACCCTTTACATGGCTCCCAATGGGAGTATTTATAGAAGAAATTAGGGCCGGACTCCCAAATCTTGGGCTTAGGAGGCCCATTTACAATTGGCCACTACTGGGCCGAGTACAAAGAGTGTAAAAATAACTAAGTATGAAATTCGGTTCTGGGAGTTCTCTGTGGCCGAAGGAGGTTTGGACGAAGGATGCGCCTGACCGATGGAGACACGGCCGACGGAGGACCATCCGAGCTGATTGCTGCCTGGGCCATATTCTGAGCTGACTGTTGCTTGGCCGACGGGGGCGCCGGCCGACGGAGGCACCGGCCGACGGAGGCACCGGTCGACGGGGGCACCGGCTGACGGAGGCACCGGTCGACGGGGGCACCGGCTGATGGAGGCACTGGCTGACGGGGGCACCGGCCGATGGAGGCACTGGCCGACGGGGGCACCGGCCGACGGAGGACAATTCTTCTTCTTGGCTTCTGGACCGTATTCTGGATCGACTCTTCTACGGCTGGTGGAGGGCCACCTGGCCGAAGGAGACCCACTGGGTGACAGCTGCGCTTCCTCTTAGTCTTCTGAGTATGTGGGTCATGGGGTCTGGACCCATATACTCCATCAGGAGTCCCCCACTCTCTGAGTTGAGGTGTAGACGAAGTGAAAGGGAGTAGATCCTTGTTGTTCTGACGCTTTGGCCGACGGAGGATTACCTGGGAATTGTAGTGTTCCTAGCCGAGGCGGTGCCATAATTGTTGGCTGCCTTGTCCTTCATTTTGAGGACGGTGAATGTTCTTCATTCCGAGGACGACGAATGCCCTTCATTTCGAGGACGATGAATGTCCTTCATTTCGAGGACGATGAATGTCCTTCATTTTGAGGATGATGAATGTCCTTCATTTTGAGGACGATGAATGTCCTTCGTTTTGAGGACGATGAGGGTCCTTCATCTTGAGGATGATGGATGTCCTTCATTTTGAGGACGACGAATGTCCTTCATTTTGAGGATGATGAATGTCCTTCGTTTTGAGGACGATGAGTGTCCTTCATCTTGAGGACGATGGATATCCTTCATTTTGAGGACGATGGATGTCCTTCACTTTGAGGACGATGAGCGTCCTTCGTTTCGAGGACGATGGATGTCCTTCACTTTGAGGACGATGAGGGTCCTGGACTAGAGGACGTTGTGCGCCCTTGGCTCTGTGGACGAAGAATGTCCTGCCCTTGTGCTTTTGACTTTAGTTGATGGATCTTACGCTTGCGGACGTTCGTGATGCGTTCGTTTTGTTCGTGATATGGACGATGAATGTCATAGTCCCGGGGACGATGCGTGCCATTGGGCTTGAGGACGAAGAGTGTCCTTGGCTTCGAGGACGATACGTGCCCTTGATCTTTAGAACGATGTGTGTCCTTGACATTGAGGACGATGTGCATCCTGCTTTGCGCTTCAGCATGGCCGAAGGGTGAACACATGGTTGTTGGACGTTGAGGTACCATTGTCATGGGCTTGTGTTCTTTGGTTTTTGAATTTGTTTATCTTTGCGCTGGAGGCCGATGTAGTCCCCCAGACCTTCTTCTGGCCGATGGAGATATGGCCGACGGAGGTACCACTTGGTAGTCCTTGCTTTTTGTTGCTTTCTGGATGATTTCATGTATGTCGAGGCCGATGTAGTCCCCCTGTCCCCCACTCCTCGAGGCTCATGTAGTGAGGTGAAGAGGAGTAGAGCAATACACGTCTTCAATAGGGGGCCGAGGATCGACACCTTTTGATCCACAATGGGGTGATGCCTCGTTAAAAACCTCATTAGGAAAAACCCTGTGGGAAAAAATCCTAATGAGGGAAAAAGAGCACACCGGATCCCCCAAAATGAACTCCAAGGGGTGAACCCTTCGGCCTAGGTGTGGAGCTGCAGCGGTGTCCGTCTGCTGAGGGGACGCCCGCCTAGTGGTGAGGACGACAGCACTGATGAGCCGGTCCGGATATGAGGACGAGGCGATAGATGCCTGTCTGACTATGAGGACGAAGGTGGTAATGAGCCGTGCATCATATGAAGGCGACGGTCGCTATCCAGGAAGGGAATGGCGAGCCCGGTCGCTATGTCAGTACCTCGGAGTTGGGAGCCGGTCTCGAGATATGAGGACAACGACACTGAGGGGCCGATCCGAAATCCATGCAACGGTCGCCATCCGGTAAAGGGATGGCTAAGACCGATCTTTGAGATGTGGGATCACGCAGAGGCTGGGAGGCCATTCGTGATCTGAGGACGAGGCGATGATGAAACTGTTCGTCAGGTAGAGACGACGGTCCCCATCCTGGAAGGGATGGAGAGCCCGATCGTTGGCTTAAGACACTCGGCGCTGAGGAGGCCGACCTTGAGATGAAGGATCACGTTGAGACCGAGGGGTCTGCCGTGAACTGAGGACGAGGGTGTTGATGAAGCCGTTCATCGCATGAAGGTGAGGGTCGCCATCCAGGAAAGGAACGGCGAGCCCGCTTGCTAGCTCAAGACCCTCGGCGCTGAGGAGGCCGGTCTTGAGATAGATAATCACGCCTTGTCCGAGGGGCCGGTCGTGATGTGGTGAAGGGCAAGGCGTTGACGCCAGACTGAACATGACGTTTGCGAAGCCGTTCTGATGATGAGGGACAGCGCTAGGCGCTCGTCTGAATGTGAGGGATGGCGCTGGGCGCTCGTCTAAAGATGAGGGACGGCGCTGGGCGCTCATCCCCTGATGACGATGGTGCTGGTGAAGCCGTTCGTCATATGAAAGACGACGTTGGACGCATGTCCTTTGATGACGACGGCGTTGATGAAGCCGCCCATCATATGAAGGACCAGGCTCTGACCCCGGCTTGAAGATGAAGGGCGGTGCTGGACGCACGTCCCTTGATGACGATGGCGTCGATGAAGCCGTACGTCATATGAAGGACCAGGGTTTGACGTCGGTCTGAAGATGAAGGACGGCGTTGATGAAGCCCATCATTTGATGAAGGATGGCGTTGGATGCCTGAAGATGAAGTACGGCGTTGGATGCCCGTCCCCTTATGACGACGATGCTGGTGAAGCCGTTCGTCACATGAAAGATGACGTTGGACGCACGTCCTTTGATGGCGACGGCGTTGATGAAGCCGTACGTCATATGAAGGACCAGGCTTTGACGCCGTCTGAGGATGAGGACGGCGTTGGACGCACGTCCCTTGATGGTGAAGGCGTTGATGAAGCACTTCGCCGTGCAAACTCAAGGCTCTCGGCGCTGAGGAGGCTGACCTTGAGATAAATAATCACGCTGAGGCCGAGGGACCGAGCGTGGTTTGAGGATGACGGCGATCATGACGCTGCTCTAAATAAAAGATGACGAGGCATTGATGAAGCCATTCGTCATGTAAGCTCAAGGCTCTCGGTGCTGAGGATGTCGGTCTTCAGATAGATGATCATGCTGAGGCCGAGGGGCCGTTCCTTTTGATGACGATGAACGCCCGTCCCCTTATGACAACGGCGCTGGTGAAACCGTTCGTCATATGAGAGACGATACTGGATGTGCGTCCTTTGATGACGACAGCGTTGATGAAGCCGTTCATCATTTGAAGGACCAGGTTCTGACCCTGGCTTAAAGATGAAGGGC